AAAAAAATGCCATTCTTTATACAAATACAAGTAAAGTTATATACATTCGACTTCTTATCCAGACAAGGTAACAAGCACTAGTGTCTTCTTTTCTTTTCCCTACTAGTACAATTGGCAAAGGAGAACTCTGAAATATATAGAAGTGATCAGCAATCCTCCAGGATTACAAAAAAAACACTGTTGCAGGATGTATATATCATGCCAATCCACAAAATAAAGTAACCTAGGTTTTGCATTTCCTGACCTCCAAAATTAGTGCAGGGAAGTTCACTCCTCTTTCAGATCACATAGATTTCTCTCTACAATACTAGGCCTGGCCAGCAACACAGGCAAGGGGGCCTGACTCTCCACTAATAGCTAGCCAAACCATTCTCCTTCTACCTGAACCAGATATTCCCCATGTTCACCAAGAGATACTGAGTGCTAGGGAGCACTGACAAAGGGGTCCTTCCAAAACAATAGCCTGGGTAGGAAGCAGTCTTCATCCACATGGGCCAGATACTCCTTTCTCTCACTTAGAAGTAGCACATGACCCTGTCTGGAGAAGCTCCCTCTGCCCATCCAAAAAACACAAGTCAAAGTTCATATACACCTTGTTGCTCAACCTAGAAATTGTCATCTTTGCTACCAAAACTATCGTGTCCTGTGATTTGTGCCACTGAGTTTTTTTTAATTCCAATACTTCTACCTCATTCTCTGAAAAAGTAATGTCATTATTAATTTTGTATAAGATATAGTCCACCTGGTAGCATATGTTAAACCACCAGCCATCATTAATTTTGTTTCTTTGATTTTACATTCCTCCTATCAATCATAAAAATTACTGTCAAGTTCTCATGTTTGTGGACAGTTATTATAGTTCTGTCATCACTTTAAAACCATAGAAGGCAAGAAATCAATCTCCCAATTCTTAGAGCTTTTGAGTCACCTTCAGGAGTTTCCTGTATTCTATTTTCACACACCATCCATCAGGACGTCCTGCATTTTATGTGGTGAATCCAAGTCATCATCCAATAACTCTCTTGGAATTTCTTCATTTTGATGACATCTGTGTAAAAGCAAGACACACCTGAGCATTCCCAGGATATTTCTAGTATTAGCACACAGTGCTAGAGTCAGTAGAGTATTTCCATAACAGTTAATTTCAGGAAGTGATGAAAAATATGACATTTGACATATTAAATTCTTCTAATCTCTTAGAGCATCTATTCATTACTTGACTTCCCAAGTCATTTGGGTCCTGAAAATGCTTCAGTATCAAAATTGGTCCAACTTATCTTTCACTTCCATCTCATCCTAGATGCTCAAACACTGCTCTAATGTCTACTGTTGCAGAAGAAATTGATGTGATTGAATTGTTGAAGGCCAAAGATTGTTGTATTTTTAAGGCTGGGAGAAGAAAATGATGAACTCAAAATAGGATGCATTGTTTGCATGTCTAAAATTGTCAAAGAATAAATAAAAATATTCTTTTAAAATGAAAGTATGTGACTAAATTGACCATTTTGTAAAATAACTTTGGTCTATGACAAGAGGCAAAGTGATGTAAGTGAAAAGGTGCTAGAATGAAAGTCTGTTATTAATTTACCCATAAAGATTTAACATTGACAGAATAAACTTGACAAAGTCATGTCCCTTTTCTGGGCTTTGGAGTCTATCCATTGCTATGAAAGGGTTTGGACCTTGTGATGTTAAGGTTTCTTCCAACATTTCAATTCTATGAATTGTCAATAATTGACCTTTCCAACAGGTTTCAAAATTTATCACAAAGGGTATGTTGGCTTCTTATGAACAAAAACTGTATCATCCTCAGGTATCAGAGAAGAGAATAAAACATTTCATCCACCTGAGGGTATTGGATAACAATCCAGAAAGGGCAGGCAGGATGTTTTCAGGTACAGAATAAATGTATTAAATAATACACCTGAATGTACAAATGTGCTGTGTTGAAGAGATAAGGGGTGGTTAGGAGCCGCTAGAGGATCTGGTGTGACATGAGAATTCAGCTTACAGTAGATTAAATCCAGCCTGTAAAGGGCTACTCTCAGTGTCAGGAATTACTACCATAATTACTATTCAAATAACTGCTTAATCACTCATTTATGAACTACATAATGACATGCTCACATTTGTGCTTTAAGACAATGTGGCTAAGTCAGAAAGATTTTATTTTAAAACAATAGCCTGGACGGGCTCCTTAGTAAAGTATTGAAGAAATCTAAGCAAAAGGCAACAAAAACTAAAACATCTTTCTGTCAGAGGATAAAAAATAAAACAAAACAGAGAAAGGCAGGTATTACTTTAGAGAAAAAGACAGCATCAAGTAACCATGCAGCCCTCCCTCAAAGCTTCCTAGGGCAAGAACAAGCAGCACCCTTCCAGCTCCCACAGTACCCACTGGCTCACAACAGACATACACCACACGAATTCCCGAAAGCTGCAGACTCTACTAAATCCTTCTAAGCTATCTCTCATTTCTGGTAACAAAGGATTGAGCATGAGGAAGTCTATACACAGATAGTCCAAGGGAGTCAAGAAGTTTGATTTTCATAACTTTAAACTCTTGCTTTCTTTATATAATTTGTTAGTCTCTAACAATGAGTCAGGACTAAGCCTCGACAAAAGACTTCCCAATGACATTTTCATGCTTCTTTGAATTACAATCCTTACTTTTTTTTACCCTATTACCTCTCATTACTTTAATTAAAATTATACCTTATCTTTCTTTTCTTTAAATATTCCAGACTTCACCCTTAATAGAGGACCTCTTTCAAAACACCCTGACAAGTGTTCTAGCTTACAAACACATAAAATTCCTTAAGGATGGACTCTCCACTGCTTCCCAAGATACCTATATTCAGATTCTAAGAATAAAACCTTAGGTATCCATGGCAATGTGCTAATCTTCTAGTGAAACTATTTTGAGCATGTAAATAAATATTTATTCTGGGTACCTGACCGTATCATACCTTTCAATTTAATAGAAGTCTATTTAAGCTTTACCAGTAAATGTCAAAACACTTTGATATATCCATTACTATGTGCAGGACACTGCTATTATGGAATGAAGATGGGGATAAAATCATATACAGTCATTCATCACCTTCAAAGAGTTTAACATCTAATTGGACCAAGTCATTAGTGCTAAAGTTTATTTACCAAGCCAGATGTGATTAGAAGCATTGTAATTAGCCTTCTAAGAAGAATAGAAAAAAAATGATAGATTCTCTAAATTTGTCCAGGGACTTGCCACATGATGAAACATATTGAACTCCTCCCTTAGTTTTTGGTGCCATATCATCACCTACTGTGTGGCTTGGTGGCAGAGTGTCATAATGAATAGCACCTCAAAATGTCACCTTCCCTTAAGCCCACTAGTCGTTATCACCATCCAATAGAGAAACTAGATTTGAAAATGCTTCTTTAAGAACTCCAGTATTTGTTGATGACATTCAACTCAAAGAATATTTAAAATAATTATGCTTTATCCGTTGAGACTTTAGAACTCTGTTTCCCTGAATTGCCTAGAAAGGCTGTTAACATTTAACAGAAGAAGCAAAAGAATACTATATCATCATATTTCAGCCTTTGATCTTTCAAAGCCCAATAGACTTGATTAGCAAGAGCATCTTGTCTGGCTTGTCTCCTAACCTATAGACTGTTATCCCCCCCCAAATAAATGTTTCTTATGTTTAGAAATAACTTGTATCTTATAACCTATTTTCATAGTAGGAAAAAGTCCAAGGAACTGTATTGAAACTTCCCAATTTGATGAGAAAGAATTTCTAATAGCCCTATTTTTAAGAACCATGGATTATACATGAACTGAGTAGATAGGACATAATTTCAGTTTGTCTTAATGACTCAAAGTTACTGCTATGAACATGAATTGCTGTCCTGTACTGTACTTTTTCTCAGACATAATTAAGGTGTACATGAAAGTTATCCACTAAGCAGATTCCTGATTGCTGTTCTTTTAAAAAGTCTCTCTACTTGCAAGTCCTCTTTATTATAAGCTATCTCTTCCTCTCGCTGACAATGGAATGGTTGCTTCCATCAGCTAAAAATCTAATGAATTAAGTTTTATATCACTCTATGTCACCTTAAATGAATCTACACTCTTCTCTAAGATATATTCTGAGTCTCAGTCATCTAGCCAAAATAAATTCTATATGCCCAACATTGCTTTTATTTTTCTAAATATTTAAAATTTTGTTATACAGAAATATAAGTAGCCTAATGAAAGATCCCAGAATTCTGTAAATAAATCTAAACCTACCTAAATCATCCTTTCAGGATTTCATTTAAAAATCTTTTAAAAAATATTTTCCTTTATGACTAAAAAGACCTCATCTTTTTAGACTTTCCTTACAAGATGTATTATATGGCATAATCCTTCCAGAATATCTCTCATTACAGATACTTTTGTTGCCCTTCTTCTTCTCTCCTATTTTTTTCTTTTTCATGACCAATACATCATTCCTAAGGCTATAACTGCCTGAACTAGACACTCTAAAAATATCAGTGTCCCTTACTTGTCACCTAGTAGATGTTAATTTTTATCACCCTTTATCTTTCTAGCATCAATCACAGTCAATGCTGAATATTCAATAGGTGAGGGCCACAGAAGGGAATAAGCATGTGTTTTCCAGTGTGTTGCCAATTTCAAATAGCCTACCTAAATTTTCAGATGATGTTTTCCAATTTGGTTGGAAAATATGGTCACCATAAGTGCAAGACATCCATGAAAAATATTATATAGTACATAGTTGGATCAGTGCAATTCAGTGCAAGAGACAAAAATGAACTTAAGGCACTTGAAGAGGCATTCAAAGAAAAGAGAGACCAGTGAGGACTAATTCAACTAGAGAGACTTTAACAGAGTAGAGCTAGCCCTATGAGATGGGTCATATCTGGATACAGTGAAGGTGGAATGAGGATCATCATCTGAGCACATTAGAGAGTCACTTATAAGACTATAAAATATTGCTCAGTAACATTTACTAGAGCAGCCAATTCCTTGGCACCAATACTAGATGCTGAGATTAGGTGTCAGAAGGCCTCGCCCAGCCTCTTAGTAACTCTTGATTCCACATCCCACCTAGGCAGCTCATTCTACCTTCACCTTAGTGGGACTCCAAAATGGTCCAGTTCTACTGGTCAAATTATAAACATATACACTGAGTCTTTATGTTCTACATATTTTCCAGCCTAAAAGGATAAAGAATTCCAACCAGTGATTTAATAAGATCTTAACACTCTAAGGCTTAAACTAATTCAACAATTTGTTTTCATCTCCAAATTGATTTGGGGTAGTTAGATGAGTTTCAGAGAAGTGGAAAGGACAATTTGGCTAAAGTGTATATACAGGAATAAGAAAATGTAGTCAGGGCCTTAGCTCACCTGACAAATAAGATTACCTTTATTCTTATTTATCAGTTTCTTTTATTTCTAGTGCCTCTTAAAATGACTATGTCCAAAACCTTGTATCGCCAAACAGGTAAAAAAAAAAAAAACTATACAGAAATACTTGAGAACTATGAAAATCAAGTAGTACTTTCATTATTGGAATTATGATTAACATCTAGACACATTAACAGATAAATAAGTAAACTTTCTAAAATAAGTGTCATAATCCAGAGGTGTCAGAGGGATGGCCAGTTAGCATCTTGAAGGCTTCCTATATATTTCGGGCATCTTGATAGGTGCATATATGTTACAGGCATTGTGAACAATTTCTAGGAATGACTTACAAACATTATACACATTGCCTAGGAATTGTTTACAATTCCTGATTTAACATTCTGCCTGTAACATAAACATGAGTTAAAAGGCAAGGAACTTGATCATACACTGGCTTCAAATCAGAAGGCAGCATTTCTGCAGGCCTATCATGTAACTGAAGAATTTATTTTTATATAAAAATCTAACACAGCATAGGCAATGGCCAAATAACTGTTATATTACATTTTAAGACTCATATGCAGGAGACTACGCATGAACTGACTAAAATCTATACAAGTTTAAAGAAAAACTCCTTTTGGTTAT